CCCTCCAAGGAAGCAGCTGCTCTTCTTTGGGCGGCAGGAGGCCAAAGGCAAGCCCGGATCTGTGGGCTCCGGAGGGGAAGGGAACCCGGCGGCCTCCTTCCCTGCCCCCCTCGGATGTTGTGTGGGGGCAGCTGGCACTGCTGGCGGTGGCAGCGGTGGCCTCCGGGCACCTGCCGCCTCCTTGCTGCTCGGAAAAAGGTGTGTGTCTCCCCCGCCATCGCAGAAAGGTTCACATTATCCCAGCGAGAGTCTTCATTAAATCCGCTGCCCCCGGGATGCTGGCGGAAGGCTTCCGCTGCTGCTTATTCGGGGATCTGCGCTCAGCTCCGTGGGGGCGGGGATGGGGAGGGGACCGGCTTTGTTCCTTCAGTGTCTGATCGGCAGCCAGCGCTGCTTTAGAAAGCAGGAGCGGTGCTAATCAGACCTCCACAGCTGCCTATGAGCACCCGGGCAGGATGCGTGCCGGGCCCTCCGCTCCCGCCTGGGATCCTGCATTTGAACCCCAGGCCCCGGAGGAGGAGGGGAGCTGCCCTGGTGGCTCTCCTCGAAAAGGCAGCGGCGGCTTGAGCAGCGCAGGCCGGAACCCTGGAGGGCAAAGTGGGGCTTCTGCCCTCCCTCCTGGGGCCAACCCAGCCGAGCTTTGCCCTCGGACGACAGAGGAATCCATCCTCCCCGCCGGGAGATCGACTGCCACAAAATAGAGTCTTTTGGCACCTGAGAAAGCAGGCCCCATTCAGGCGCCTCAGGAGACAACCTTGCAGGGCTCGCTCTCACTGCCGCCTGCGCCTGCCCCGCCAGGTCGTGTTCCAGCCGCAGCATCTGGGGTAGTGGTCTGTGCTTTTGACGCCCTGGATTCTCCCGGCCTGGGATGGTGCCTCGCTCGGCTCCAAGTCAGTGTGCCCTCTGAGCTGAGTTAGTGTGAGCTAGTTCACAGTTTTCTAGCCTCCGGCTCATACATTTTAATCTTAGCTCAGGAAATAAGGCTCCAGAGCAGACTTATTTATGCAGCAGCCAAATCACTCGCTCACAACTTTAATGCCAGCGGCTCACCAAGTAGAATTTCTGCTCACAAGGACTCCACGGCTTAGAGGGGACGTTGCTCCAAGTGTGTGAATTGCAGAATCGAGCCAAGGTTCCTGCCACATGCAAGCACAGGTGATTGGGGGGGGGTTTACTCAGTCAGCACCCCTCCTCCTCCCCCCCCTCGTTTGAGGCCAG